TACGAGTGGCTCTCCTCTGGACTCTCTCAGGCTTTTCCACATCCCTCCTGAAGAGGGGGGCCCAAAACTGGACTCAGTACTCCAGCTGTGGTCTCACCAGGGCCGAGTAAAGCAGGAGGATGACATCCCTGGTTTTGCTTGAGATGCATCGGTGGGCGCATGCCAGAGTTTGATTTGCTTTGCCAGCCACAGCATTGTATTGCATGGGCGACTGATGCCTCCCATGTCTGGGGGGCACCAGATTGCCAACGGGGGGAGGAGGGTCCCCCAGTGGCCGATTGCCAAGTGCAGAACCACTAGCGGCAAAACCGGAAGTGCACTTCAGCCGGCCATTCCAGTTTGGCGGCTGGCACTTCCAGGGGGTGCACCCCCTACACATCGCCAATGCTTCCAGTCCTCAGGAACTTCACCAGAGCACGAGTTGTGGAAGAGTTTTGGCAGGGGTTCCGCAATGACTTCAGCCAGCTCTTTCAGCACTCTCTGATGAAGATCATCTGGTCCTGCTGACTTGTATATGTCTAATTTTATTAAATCGTCATACACTAATTCTACAGCAATAGTAGGAAGGTGATTATTCCTACTGTGCTCATCCCCTACTCTACCTGGCATGGTTTTCTCCTTGGTCTGGTGAAACACCGAGGCAAAGTAACCATCTTACTTCCTTCCCAGTAAGTTCAGATCTCCATTTGGGTACTGAATTCGGTAAGCCAGTTATCAGTGTCTGTGCTTCCAAAACTTCTTGGTTCAAAATGTATATGAATATGCATCTCCACCCAACTGCTTCCTGGGACTGATGTTTTGTCTAACCCTACCTCTTCCCCATCACTGTCAAAAGTTACTACGAATTTCTGTACAAGCCTCTGTATGCCTATTGTATTACAATACTGTATACTAGATATTACACTGTTTAAAAGTAATTACAAGTTGAGATATATTAAAGAGTAACAAACGTGTTCCCTCTCCCTTTTTTTGGGTGGGGTAGAAAAAAAGTACCCCCAACACACACACACACACTTTCCCATTCATGTCATTCTAACAGTCACTGTAGCTCTTAGATCAAGTAAGTCTGACTAAACGTCCTAAAAAATCAAGTACTATTTTACTATTAAAGTACAGAAAAGTGAAAAGCTCTTACATCCCCTGCCCGCTGCAGCTGCTACACTCTTGTAACTCATTTTTTCTAATTTATGCCTTAGTCTTTTCCCTGAAATTACTGCATCAAAACTATACAATTCAATTCAGTAACATCATGTAAGCAAAAAATGTCAGTTATTTGCATAACCTCCTTCCAAAATGTTAGAATAAAAATGAAAATAATGGTAATACTTTAACTAGATTCAATACACAGTCAAGGCAAATATTTTAAAATGTGACAACTAAACAGACTGACAACATATTGCATAGACTACCCTATAAATTGTATGTATTTTGCTTTCAAGTACCAAGATTAAGAGACAACTTCTTCCTTCTTACTGTGAACAGTAATTCAAGAATGACTTTTACAGAAAAACTGAATGATCTGGAAAATGCTAACACAGCACAATAAATGTTTGAGTTTACTTATGCATAAATTTATGCTGGTAACATTCTCCACAGACACCTAATATATTACAATACATTCATAAGTGCATGATTTAATACATTAAAAAGTGCATGATTTTTTTTCCAAACTATTTGTTCTTTTGTTGATAAAATTTTACACTGTAATGAACAGCATCCATAACTTGTAACTGTAATTCAGTCATGCTTTATCCTAACAATTTACTGTGCATACAAAATGTGTAACTGCAAAAAATATAGGCTATTTTTTAGGCCCAGTATTTCAAAACAGGTGTTTGTTAGTCACTGACTAAACTTCCACACACATTTTTATGCATGTAAAAAACAACATTCTTCTGCATGATTGAATTTTGTGTAAGAGTGCCTTGAATTCTCAATGGAAAATTAGAAGTTTAGGTTTAGTAAAATTCAGGTTCTTTGGAAGAAACACCTACACTTACCTTAATCCTGGAAGTATACCGATCCAATATTAAAAAGATTAAAAGTGACACAACAGTATTTTTCACAGATTAACATTATAAATTTTTATAAGCTTCTATGGTTTAAAATAATGTTTAATTATACTTTAAGTACTCTGGTATCATAAACGTGATCTCAAAGTTTGAATCACTCTTGTGCATTTTAAGACTGCTTTAAAAAGCCTGTTAAGTGACTAAAACTAGACCCCAAATATCTCTGTGGATGCAAGTCCACCATTTCGGTGCCATCAACTTCCTAAAACCATCACTGACTTGGTACATAACCTCTAGGTGCCATTAGTGGGCATGAATATATACCTAAACACTGACACCTCCCCACAGCTTGGAGCTCAAGGCTAGGAACAGCCGTTCAACTCCAGAAGCAAATTTCTGGGAAATCTGCAATGCTGGAAAAAGCTGTAGGAGGGGGAGCATACAGGCATTCCAGCCCCCCTGACTATAGACCAACGAAGTCACCTCAAAGTTGAACTCTCTAGGCGGGGGTCAATAGGAAGCTAATCCTTTGCTTCCACTGCCCTGACAGCAGAAAGGCTGTTGTCAACTGATGCCACATGGGTATCACCTGGAGGTAGCTGCAAGGAAGGGGCAGCCCACAGCCACCTTGGGTGAGAGAGGCATGCTTCCTGCTCCATCTACAGGTGAACCAGGGCTACACTTGCAGCCCCAGAACTATGACTGCATTTGACAGCCCCAGTTGCTGCTCTGGCATCAGCAAGGACCCCAGTGGGGCTCAACCCATCCTGGAGCCACCATCCCACAAGCACTCTCCCATGGCTGGAACCCTCCCATGACTTCAAGACTTTTTTAGCTATTTATTTCCTGCCCAGCACACAACTCGAGTTTACCATATAACTGTACATGGGGTGAAAGGCAGATGCAGCAACATCTGGAACCATCCCACAACTCCAAGACAATTTTACTAGTGAGAGAATGCCCCTTCACCCCATGCACAGCTCTGGCATGATCCAGAGCTCTGCACAAGGCAGGGGGCCATTCTCCCATTGCTAGAACCATCCTGGAGCTGGGTCTGGCCTGGGCCTGTTCAGTGGTGAACTCTGATACCTGAAGGTCCAGGAAGTCTCCTGGTGTATTCAAGCGGCAGCAGCAGGGACCTCCACAAAGCTCCCTGACCCATCACCCTGAGTGAGCTATCAAGGAGCCTATACTCTCCTTCCTGCTTGGGAGGGTGGGGGCAAAGGACTATGGGATAGTGGGAGTATCCCAGTGTCCAAAGAAACATACAACCATTCGAACTGGCAGGAGAGAAAGGAGATCTTCCAGGTGGTCTCTCTTTTTTCATGGAAGAGCCAGCTCACTTTACAAAATATCCCTTGAACAGCCACATGCCTTCTTTTTGTGCCAAAGAACAGACATTTCTCCCGGCACAAATGCAATGTCTGTCCATGGGCACATGCAAGATTGCGGTGACAAGGGTGCAGCCATACCCCACTTCAGAGGCAGGACCCATGCACAGTGAAGGGAGCTCATTGTGCATGTGCTACGTAGCTGGAGGGGATGAGGTCCCTTGCTGTAATCCTGGATGCTCAGCAGCTCCAGCTGGGAGCTCTGCATATGATCTGAGCTCACTGGCACAGCATAGAATCTGCGCAGAGTCCCTGCTTCCAAGCAGCTCCAGAGCCTGCTGCTGTCTACTCTTCTCTCTCCTCCACTATCCCCACCCAGTTCAACAGCGGATAGGAGGAGCAGCAACAGCACAGAGCCTCCCGGAGCTGAGCAAAAGGCATTGCTGCCAGCTGCTCCTCCACTCTTTTCCCCTGTTGCTGAACTTGGGGGTTAGGGTAGGAAAGGAAGAAGTGGAAGAGTGAAGAGAAGCAGGGACTATGAGTAGAACCCATGCCAAACAGCAGCAAACTCACAGACCTCACAGAACATAAAGAGCTTCCATCTGGGCTGACGTATAGTTGAGCTGAGAGAGCTCAGTACACTTGCAGCATGCAGCCAAACAGAGGTGCAACTGTGTTGTCACACCAACCCTGGATCCATCCCCATACCTATTCATAGCCCTTGTGAGCAACGTAATTATTAGCCTATCATGTACTCTGGGGCTGGTCTCTCTCAGTCTTGATACCAAGAGCATACTATTTCATATAAATAATTAAATATTTATTGGAGGAGGCACTTGAACTTAAGACCAATATCAGCTGAATGCCCTTAAGTCAGATTTCTCACTCTGGCCCAATTATTTATAAAGGAGGAACTGGTTCAGACAAACTGAGAGTGCACCCTTCATAATATCAAACCGCCTAACAATTAGGTTCTGACATATTTGTTCAAGTTCCTGCTCTTTATTAAATAAAGCTGAGATTTAAACTCTGACCTTGCATGTATCAGGAAAGTCCTCTTAACCACTAAGATATTCAGTGTTCTTGGATGACATTCACTCTCTCATTTCTTCCTGGACACTTAAACCAGGTTTAGGTTCTTAACTCCTGGAGAAATGTCACAGTTCACAGAGCCAAGCAGAAAAAGGTGAATCTCCAGATAAACAGGCACCTGTCTCTAGCTAGGTCAACTACTTTTGCATCGAAGCCTTGCCTCTTCTCTCTACATCACACCTGGCTACTTTAAGCAGCTCCCTGCTTAGCTGGCTTCTGGAAACACCATCTTAGGCATTGTACGGGGACCCTAGGCACCTAACAGATTGCTAAGGATTTCATTAGTGAGGAGGGCACCTAGCAGTTAACAGTTACTGCTCCGCAATGTCTTAGTACCTTGGCTCTTGTTAAATAACTGAAAAATATATCAGGAATCCAAACCAATCCCAGCTGAAATTAATGAAAGGCCCCCACTGACTTTAATGGGAACCAGATTTGGCCCCAGGTTGGGATATTTTTCTATAGGTAAAGAAAAAGTCACGTCCCTCTGGGAATGCTAGTAGTGACCACCTGAGTGGTGGCTAGGGCAGAAAAGCTATAAAAAGTATTTTGTTTTTAAATCTACCTGTTTCCACAGTTTCGGTTTCAATTTCTTGCTCCTCTGCTACATCTTGCATCAGGTAAGTCTCGTCATCATAAACCAGGACCTGAGCAGCATAACCCTGTTCTAGTCTGGCACTAGGAACTGGTTCCACAATCACTGCTGGGAATTCAGAGACTGGGTCATTTTCCTATAGAGAGAGAAAAAGCCCTAAATATTGCACCATCAAAACCTAAATTAATCCCTCCCCCCATTTTTAATTGTTTTATGTTGTAGAATAATTATACATTAAAGTAGAACAAACTTAAAGAGACTATTTAACGTAAGGACACTAAAGCAAAAGTCAAAATAAAGAAGATTTATCATGAAATTAAAGAATACCCTGGATCCCCTAGTAACTTCCTTCATGTTAAGTTGAACCATTTAAAGACTAGAGTTTCAATATTCCTTCCAAATTTTCTATGAAAATGTTGGCAAAGAGCATAATATTTTTCTAGCAAAATGCATTTGTATGAGAGAGGCCTTTTTTCCCCTACCCAGTAAATTTCAAGTTAATCTGTCTTAGACATTCCATTTCCTTTGTATTAAAATGCCTGTTACCCTGAACCTATCCTACAAAGACGTGTTTTGTTTAAACACAGGTGTTGCCACACTGAAATAAAAAAGCCAGAACTACACAGATATTTGGAGGTAGGCACATGGTATTGACAGGATCAGGATCCAGGTATGTTATTGCATACCTAAATGGGCTAATTCTTAGTGATACTGTACATCTATAACAATTGGAGACCTGGCTTGTTCAGAACACTATAAAGCACTATTTACTGCAAGTGACATGACCATGACACACCTTCTCACTTTTAATTAATCATATTTGATATGGTTAATAAGGGGTCAGATATTTGTAAAAGCCTCTTATACTTAGTTTCATTGTCCTTATAGTATCTGGAGGCTAAAGTCTGCTTAACATTTTAAAATGGCATTTTATATAGAATTTTATTTTGTAAATCTAGCCTGCTGTCCAGCAGACAGAATACAACATTCCACTTCCTCTCTTCTACAATACTTTCTAAGGAGTCTGTAATACTCCCATCAGTGACTATTAACCCATCTTACATAGCACGGTTACTGTAACCCCTGCCTTTTCATATAAGTAATAAGAAGCTAGTTGGCAAAAAAGTTCAACACAGATTTCTAACCTCCTGGTTTTTTACTCCATTGTTGTCAAACTCCAGGCCAGAGCCTCCACTGTCAACCACTGCTGATGTCATGGTGCATTCCCTGGAGGGGCTTTGAAACGTATTGAGTGATCCCAAAGACTGTAATGTTGAAAGCCTGTGGTATCAAAGGCTTAAGTTCAGAATCCAAGTAACATGTATCCAGAAGTCTTCTTTTCTTTTCATTATACTATTAACTGGAGATACTGAAAAACATAACAATGAGAGAAAGAAAGTTATAATAAAAAAGGAAAATATAAGCATTGTGAATTCTTTTAGCTTCACACATTCTGATGTTTACATTCAATGCTTGCAATTTTTACTGTGAAGTAAATATTGCTGTCTACTACACTGCTACATCAAGAGGGCACCAGTGAACACTTTTCATCTGACAGAAGATACAGTGATGTTAGTAGTTCAATTGTGTCATATAAAAGTATTTCCAAACCAGCTTTTAATGCTGAGGGAAATGTTAATCTGCTGAAAAAGTTGGTTAAGGATAATTTAGGTATTTATCTAAATAGCAGAAGAAAAAGCAATCTACTAATGTCATAATATGAAAAAGATGCCATAAATAATGTAACAATTTTTGAGAGAAAAAGTGCATGCAATTTTGGAAAAGTTTTTTTCAAGGTACTAGAATATATTAAAAAGATCATCTGTGACTTCAGTAAGTACTAAGATTGAAATTCTGTGATCTGGCTAAGCTGTGTTGAGCATAAATCAGGGTGAAATGTGAACAAAAGCAATATTTAGAATTTTTGGCATTCCCTTAATTCTGGGAAGACCTCACACTGGTCCATACCCCAGTGCAAGATAGAGTAGCCTTCACACTATTTACTCCACCTTGCAACTATCCCAAAAAGTGATCACTGGCAATTCTAGCAGCTGGAAATCAATGTGATTCAAAATTTAGTCATGATCTATGCCAGAGGCCGCAAGAATCCCCCAGGATGACTTTGTTCTACTTGGGGTATCTGTATACAGATAGGATTGTCTAATGGTTGGATCCACTAGCTTTGACATGGCTTTAGAATACTCAACCAGTACGGACAACTCTATCACTTCAAAGAACTGGGTATTTAGCCTTTTGTTGGTTTTTTGTTTGTTTGTTTGGGGGGGGTTTGGGGGGGTCTCCTTTTATGTTACTGTAATAATCAATACCTTTATGAAAAGAAAACACCTATCATGATAAAAACAAAGATTCTCTACCTCAGAAAATGGATCTTACAAGCCATCCAAATAGTTCACCCCTCCCTAAAAAGACACATCTGACACAGGTTTACCACACAAACTGTCAAGTCCCGTCATTTAGGAATAAAAATACAATGCTTCTAAAAATTACTACATAGCAATTAAGATAACTAAGACAAGTAATGAATGCACTGCATTCAGCTGCAATTACACCTCAAATCATGACAAGAAGAAGTTTGTTTGGGTTTTTTTACTTCTTCCAAGACCGTTGGAAAAAAAATTAAAATATTTGGCACAGGATGGTTTGACATGGACTACATCAATTTAAGTGTTATTTAAGTAAGGTTGTCACAACATGAAGCATTTTCTGATTCTCCCACTCCCAGAGCTAGTGCAGCTGCAGAGACACTAGCAAGAGTAAGAGCACTTGTGTCAACTGGCCAGAAGTTTTAGAATCATCAATTAACAAGCTTCAGTTCAGGTATAGATGACAATAGCAAAAAAGCCCCTCAGCGGTGGTCCTACAACAGTGGAGCACTGATTTACTTTATTGGTATCCACAAAATATTAGTAAGGATAGAGGGAAGAGGCAAACGGATAACAAATTAGAGGCTAGATAATTCTAGACACAATAGAAAGATCCACTCACTATTTATTTCTGAAGGGTGCTTTTTTAATTATGCCCAAAATCATGTACTCCAGTGATTCTATCAGACTAATCAATATTTGTGACATTAATCTGCATAATGAACTGCTTACACAGATGTGTGTTTACTGATAATGTCATATGCCAGAAAAGTATGAAAGAGAAGGTTTATTTGACACTACTAAAACAGCACTGTTCAGAATTAATACACTTATAAATGCTAGACTATTCCTAAACATGAATCACCCTTAAGCTATGTTGCCAGGAATATTGTAAGTGATAAGTGACCAGCTCCAAAAAGTTTCCCCCCCTCCCACCCCAAACACATTTGTTATAAGAGGAAACCTTTCTGTTTTATAGGAATGCAAAGAGTAAAATTTATATATAAAAAAAAAAAGAGTTCCATATCTTACTAGTTCTATAGTCAGGAGCTGCCTAAACACTCATTTAGCTTTTGAAAAAGCTAAAGCCAATTACTACACATTCCTTAAATCCAGTTTGATAAGAATTTTGTATCCAGCCTTCCCAAAGAGGAAACAGTCATAGAATTAAACAACTAGCAATTCTTCAGAAACAATCTGTATTCATAAGCGCGGTGTTGTCAAAATTAGTTTATTGCTTCAAGAAGCAAACTTTGGCTACTTCTTTAGATTAACATTATCTCTTCTTTTAGATGACTTTGAGCCGAAACCAAATTAAAAACTCATCACCAGCTAGCAGTAATGGAGAAGACAGACGCATGTTCCTAGAATGTGATACATGCGGGCCTAATCTTATCTCAATTATCCTCATAAGTAACTCCACTCAGATCAATGTATTATAACAGAGATCAACCTGATCCAAGATCTTGGACTATGCTCCAATATAAATGCCAGCTGTGAAAAAAACCCAACAGTCATACGCAGATACTTCAGCAGAGACAACAATATAGGCCAGTCCCTGTTAGGACAACAATATAGGCCAGTGAGCTGTTGAATGCACTCTATGAAGTGCCAAGGGATCATCTACCCATTTAACTGTGCGGGGACTGGACCCTATATCATTATAATTAATACAGCTCACTGGTTAATTAAACCAGACCATGTTGCAATTCTGCTCCATGAAAATCTCTATGGTGTTCAGGGTCCCTTAGCACTCTCTGCAGAAGTTGTTCAGCATCTTGCAAGCGAGACTGGCTCACATTGTAATTCTATCTATTTTCTTCACAGAACTACCTTGGTTGAGCAACCATGTTGGCTTTTTTGCCTAAATGGCATTATATTAAAAATGAAATGTATAAGTTATCTTCCATACTTGGATAAAAAGTGAGAGTTCATTCTGATATCAGTTTTCTTGGTAGCTAATCTTAACCAAGATTTAAGCACTGGAAAATCCTTATTGTGTCCTTGCAGTACTCTGTGATGTTTTTCAGTAGTTAAGTCATCATAATAGCAGCAAAATAAATGCAGCAAAAAAAAAAAAAAATTTAAATCAAGGATACAGCTGTCTTGCATGTACCTGAGAGTGAGGCAGCTGGGAAGCTTCCAACCAGCAATATATAGTGGGACCACGTACATGTTTTCACAATGCAGGTTCTGCTGATATAAAAGGCTGTCCTCCCACTGCCTTTCAGACATAAAAGATTGCCTTAAATGAACACTTTAAACTGTGAAAGGAGAGCCAGGAACGATTCTTGGTGTTTCTCAGAGGGCCCTCTACCCATAACAGCAGCCTTGAAGTGGACAGCTCCTAATCCAACTTACTAATTATGCAGTTTAGCACAGTACAGTTAAGTTATAAAGTAGGTTCAAATAGCTCCTCCGCACACAAGTGGTTTATGAACTTAACTGATATGTAGATAAACTAACATTATAAACAAAAGCAACAGGCAAAAAAAAGTACAACCAGTGTTGTGTTATGGAGCTAAATGATGTGCTTACCCAATGACACATACATAGAGTACATTATTTTTGTTTGGTTTCATGCATCATAGAATCAGACATGTAGGGCTGTAGGTCATCTAGTCCAATGCCCTGCCTGAGGCAGAATCATCCCTATCCAAAACATCCTATACAAATCCATAATCTAACTACACAACTGCAAGACATCACGCCCTAACCTGCCACAGGTAAAGTAGGAGACCATGCAGCCAACATCTTGCTTCTGTAAAACGTTGTTAAACACACACTCAAAGAGATTCCAGATAAAAGGGCGACACCCTGCTACAAAGACAGGCAAAATCCCCTACAGTCCGTACCAATCTGACCACAGGGTAAAATTCTTTCCCGACCCCAAATACAGCGATCGGTCTGATTTCTGAGAGAAGGGGCAAGATCTTCTATCCAGAAACCTCCAGCTTGAAGTATTACATAGGAACCCCGGTCATGGACCAAGGAGCCTACTGTTGAATGTATTGAAACCCCACTCTGGTGGCTAAACACCTGGTATGTTTTAACAATCAATAATATACCATGTGATCCACTAGAAAAGCCTACATTAAAAGGCACATACCAGCCTTACTCTCCCACCCCCTACCCCACTTCCCCCATGCCATAAGAAGCCTAAATGACTACTCTGTTGGTTTGGTCCTATCAAAGTAACTAATGCCCCTCTCAAGGTGGCGTTCAATGAAGGTGGAAGTAGAGATGCAGGAATAAGTGGCCTGAATGAGACTGTCTGGTGTCAATCTCCCTTCTGACTCCAGAAGGACATGCCTATCTTTATGGAATACAATGTACAAAAAAAAATTCTACACCTGACTCCCACTAACCCTTTGATGAGCTGATGTTATTAAATGCTTATCTACCTGCCTTTATAGCTATAAGGGCCGTCTTCAGAGATGTCACAGAGAACACAAAGAGCATGAATGGGGGATCCCGTGATCTTTATTAGCATAAAGGTTCAGCACTGACAACAGAAAAGTAAGACAAGATAAACGAAAACAGGTCTGCATTCCAAAGGGTGAAAAGTTAAAATTGCAGTTGGTTTGACTGACAACTGAGAGATGCATAGAGCTGTTTTTAAATGAAGCAGAAAGGCCAAAATTAAGATGCTGGGCTGTTAGAGATGTGCATGCATCCCAGATGAAGATTATTCTTCTGTTTCGTTAAGCCAGTTTTCTAGGTCCAAGGCTTCCTGGTTTTCAATAGAATTTGGGGATTTCAGCAGAACACTCAGAAACACTCAGTAGCACCCCCAAAAATTCAGAAAGCAAGATGACATTTGTCTGGAGGAAGACTTAGTCCTATTTAGAAAGCACTGAAAGATGTTAGTCTTTCTACAGACAAGAAATAGCCATACTGGATCAGATCAGGGAGACCCCTGTTCCAGTCCAACATCTGTCACCAAGAATTGCAAGTACTAGTACTTCAGAAGAAGTAGCAAAATCTCTGCAGTGGGTACTCAAGATACACCTGACCACAGAACGTTTCCCTCCCAATTCTCAGTAATTAAAGGCTGGCCTAAACTCCAAAATAAAATGGTTTATGCCCCATCAACAACTTCTGTTAATATTTGCTATTATAAGGTTCTGTGCACTCTGTAGCTTAAAGTGGATAGCGTATTCCTCCCTTTCACTCCATAAGCTTCATGCATGCCATCCTGCTATCCTTCTCCATTTAAGGGACTCCCCAAATCTTCCCCTGCCTAGGGATAACCTTCCTCTATAACCTCCATGTGAGTGGCAGAGTGCACCCCCATAACCACTTCCCTGGACACCTCCATTCCCTCACATGCCAGGAGCTTTGCGGTGCCCCTCTCTTCCATACCAGCGTCTAGGATAAGGTTCTGTGTAGCCTCATTCCCTACCTCTATATCAGGGGATCTGTGTGCCCCCTAACAACAAGGGAGGGTCTCAACCTCTTTCCCGTCTCCACCTTTAGTATTAATTTAATCTGAATACAATATTTATTTTAAATACAGTTATCACGCCCTCTTAAAGGTAAATAATCCCAAACTTTACAGCTTTGGTTTCATCCTGTATTTCTTCCACATACTGATCCAAACTTACTTCCCTTCTCTGAGCTCTCTCTAAAGTAGCACCACCCTTTTATACTGGTTTTTAGTATTGCTTCATATCAGTGTGGTATAAAATGCTAAGATCACAGCATCAATACCTGCATTTCCAGGACCAAGGAAACATCTGAACTTATTTGAAGTTTGTTTATTAGAATGCTGTCCTTATGCTGGTTTCTGTAAAAGTCAGATTTCCCAGATATTAGTAAAGCTACATGCATGTCTTAGTCCTGATTTTGAGCTATTCATTTTGGACTAATTAAGGCACTTCCAAAGATGTATGTTGCATGCGTATATCAAGAAATCTAGACCGGATATTTTTCTGTAAAAAAAATTACTATAGCCCTGATAGTGGAAACACTTAAAGGCCAAAAACAAACCCCCCCAAAAAATAACAGAATAGTCCTGATAGTGAAAACACAGAAAGCCTGCTTTGACTACTATTCAACACCCACCAAACAAGCCAAACACAAACCAAAAAAAATAACCATTAGATGGCACAAGGCTGAACATAGCACCAGCCGTTGCTGAACTCTTCACAATTACTTTTTAACTCTTTAAACCTCCTAAACAAAGATAGAACTGAAACAAAACTGCTCAGATACCATTCCAAAGACCTTTAATGGAGCGGCCCTTATCTTTCCAAAACATGCACTAAGCTCAGTGCTGTGCCATCTAATGGTCATTTTTTTGTTTGTTTTTGGCTGTTTTGGCAGGTGTTGAGTAGTCAAAGCAGACATTCAGCGTGTCCACTTTCAAGGATATAGTAAGTTTCTGATAGCAAAGTATCAGACTTAGAATTCTTGATGTACATGCCTGATGTACAACTTTGAAAGTACCTTAATTTGTCCAAAACAAATAGCTTGAAGTCAGGATTGAGATGTGCATGGAGATATGTGCATCTGGAAAACCTGACTTACAGGAAACCAGCACAAGGACAGCATTCTAATAATCAACCTTCAAATAAATTCAGATACTTCTTTGGCCCTGAAAACACAGGGACAGATGCCGTGATGTTGGCATGTTGCACCACACTGAAATAAGGAAAAATAAAGGAAACAATTATGTGACACTCCAATCTCTAGATGCAAAAAGTGATCACCAACATTACTGAGCTAAGATGTGTTATAAATTAGAATCACAAAGAAGCAAGAGCTGGGACAGGGAAACATTTCAGAAACAGGTCACACTTGTGGAATAACAATAATGATAATAATAATAACAATGACATAGGCAACAAAAGGATTAAGAAAGAGAAGAGGGAATAAAAAGTGATGGCAATGATAATAATAATGTGACATAACAGAATTAGAGAAAATGAGGGTTGGAAGGGACCAAAGGAGGTCATCTAGTCCAGCGTTTCTCAACCTGTGCATCACAATCCAAAAGTGGGTCACAACAAACTTTAAAAATGGATTCTCCTTTAAAGGAGAAAAAAAACCCGTGGGAAACTGGCTTTTCCCTTGCAGGCTGGCAGACTTCCAGCCTGCCGGGGGCTGCTCAAGAGCCCCCCCATGTCCCAGACACTGGGGGCCTGGGGGCAGCAGATGGCACTGGGGGCAGCAGTGAGGGGCACTGGGTCGGGGCTGTTTACATCGATGTTTATAAATGGGTCCTTGTAGAAAAAAAAGGTTTGAGAACCATTGATCTAATCCAACCCCCACCTCAGCAGGACCATCCTGAACTACATCGTCCCAGAAAACAGAAGGCTTAAGAGAAGAAGAAAATTAATAGTGATAATAATAAAAAAATATGACAAATGCATTTTAAAGTGCCCTTTGACATAGGCCAGCCCCTTCAGCAGCAGCAGCCAGGCAGCAACCTCCCCCTCCCCCCTTTCCTACAGCCACTGCCACCTCCCTGCTCCCTTACCCCAACCACCTTCGCGGAGAGGAGCGGTGCCCCCACCCCGCCGCCCGATGCCCCCCGGCGCCGCTCTCCTGCATACAAAGAGCGGGCAGGGAAGCGGCAGCGGGGCGCGGGGAGCCCGCCCGGCTCCATGAGGCTCCGCTTCCCCTGACAGCTCCCCAGGCCCTCCGGGAGCTCCCCGACGCGTACCGTGAGCGCGGGCAGCCAAGGCGCCGGCCCCCCCGGGACGAGCGCGCCGGAAT